TTTTAAATTTCCGTGTCTACAGTGACCTATACATCCAACATGGGACGAAGGAAATAATATAAATGAACAATAGATAATAATAATTCACTGTACATACTATTATTAATCTTACCACAAGATACATATTCATACAATACACACTACAAGTATAATTATATTATGTTAAATAAAAATATATTGTCACCATACTAACTAATCTCATATATAATAATATGAACATAGTTTCTTTTTAATTATTATAAATATAATACTCCTCCGTCCCATTAAATGTTATTTTTCATTTTCATCTGTCACAAAAATAAATTATCATTTTCTAATTTAATAATTGTACTACCTACCTAATATAATAAATATATATTTTCATTTTACAATATATTACATAAATGTCATTACTTTTATATTATACAATACTAATAAGGGTGTTTTTGTTTTTATACTACAATCCAATATAATACTCCCTCTGTGATGTAAATGTGTACTCATTTGACCGGACACGAATTTTAATAAAAATGAGTAATAATTGTTACTTTTTTCTTTAATAGTAAAAAAAAAGTACAAAAGTATAATATTTTTTACTTAAAAAGAAAACGATAATATTTTTCGATGACAACCTAAAAAGGAAAGTGAACATAGATTTGAATGACGAAGAAAATATTAATATTAAAAAATCTATCATGTCTATCATAGATCAAAGATGATGCAACCACAATCGTCTATCATGTCTTAATAAGAAGCAGTGTCGTCATCTAAATTAAAGTAAAAAACAAACTCTCAATAGAGTCGGAAACAAGACTCTCACTGGAGTAAAAAATAACGAGACTCTCACCGTAGTGGGATATAACGGAATTGAAGTTGAAAGACGACGTGACTCTCAATGCAATCGAAAGTAGCGCTTTGTTCCAAACCATGACAAATGATCAAAGGCCGAATTCGGATGCAAAATTGAAAAATAAACTTGACGGGACCAACTGCAGATGGATCTCAAAATGGAAAGACTTCCGTTGACGCTATAAAATCATAAGTAAAAATTTCAACAGAGCTTATAATAAAATATTTCAACAATTATTATTTTGGTAAATTTATTGTTTAATATGATATTTTGCATAGAGAATCAATTTATTTTTTTATAGGGAATTATAAAATTGTGTAATATATATATATATATATATTTTAATCAAGTAATAGTTTGGGTTTCGTATTTAGTTCTAGATGATTCGTACAATGTTACTTCTAATATGAAGTTTGTTTTAAAGGATATGTACATAAAAAGTGAAGTCTAAGAAAGAACTAATTTGCCTGTGGGAGCTTTTAGTATCCACCAAATTTGAAAATTTTATTACTCACTCCGTTCCGTATAATATGAGTGCATTACTGTAGATACGAGAATTTAAGTAAAGTATAATTAGTAAGTAATTAAGAAGTGTATTAGTAAAAATAATTATTGTATAGTAAAAATAGTTATAAATTAAGATTAAGATAACTACATATTTTAATTAAAATTAAAAAATTCTAAAAATTTAAAATTTAAAATATTTTTAAAATGTATACTTATATTTCAAAAAAGGAAAGGACAAATTATGTGGGACGAACGAAAATATAAAATATGAACAAATTATGTAGAACATATGGAGTATTTCATTTGACCATAAAATGAATGAAAGGAAACCCTACTTTTCTTTCTTTCTTTCTAAATAACAAGTTTGGATTGGATTTAAGTACCCAATGCTTCTCATTTATGATAGGGAAAGATTTTCACAAGAGATTTTTTGGATATAAAGAGTTAGGGGTGTAGATAGGTGTTTTCGGGTCGTGTTTGCGCTGGATTAAGTTATTGGTATTACAAACAATCTACAAATCCAATTTGACCTTAACCCGATTTTCAACTTGGAATTTCAATTAAAAAATAATATAAATTCTTTTGAATCAGATTCTATAATTTTATTTCAGGTCATCTAATAACCCAAATGAACCCAACTAATCTATACGAAATAGACCCAAAAATATGAAACTAACACCAAATAGATCTAAACTTACAAAAAAGACTTAAAATTTTGATAATTGAATAAAAATTATAAAAGACATATAAAAAGCTATAAGTTAGTAAAAATTTACCAAGAAGACGAGGATGGACAAGAGAGAATGACCGAATAGACAAAACAATTTGAAAGAGAACAAATCGAATAAAAATTATAAATTACATATATAAAAAACTATAAATTATAAATGACTAGACGAAAATGTTCAAATTTAAAAATGGAACAAATTCAAATAAGAATGGAGAAGAGTTTTACTTTTTATATATATATTTTTATTAGAACTATTTAAATACCAATAACATATTATATACTCGCTCCGTCCTATTTGAAAATGGTCCTAATTTGAGGTTTTTTTGTAGTTTAAGAAATAATATAATTTTATTGGTCAGTGAAAGTGTGCAAGAGTATTTGACATTTTTGCTCTTTAACTTTATATATAAACTAATTATAATGGTATTTTTATAATTTAGATAAAAGTTAAAAATATTTTGGTATTAATATATTATTATTTTTACTAAAAAAAAAAGATATTTTTGAATGAAACGGATAAAAATAGTAAAAAAATGTATATTGAATTAGGACAGAAAGAGTATTTTTTTAAATATATATTTTTTTTATCATTAATGTAATTTAATTAAGATTAAGTCAAAAGAAATTATTATTTGAAATTCAAGTCGGGTTTTGAATAATCCGAATCATCTTATTATTATAAATTAGGTTATCAATTGAATCCAAAACCCCACTTATTACAACTTTATTATTATTATTGTTATTATTTTGGATTCCAGTGGATCTAATTTTGGATTTGTATATTCGAGTTGAGTTCAATTTTAACACTCATGTAAAGAGTATATTTGTTTTGAATTTTTATTTAAATAAATATTGAATATGATATTTTTATTGAAAATTTTATTAATTGTATAGTAAAAAAAAAAAAAAAAAAAGCCGTGAGTTCGAATTTCTAATTAAAATCAAATTTACAATTTATTCTAAATATATTTTACATGTCCCTATTACTTAAAAATAACAATTAAAAATATTTGAATGTAAAATTGATGGTTAATTTAAAATAATTAAGTGATATAATTGTTTTAAAAGAATTATTCAATATATCTGAGCTGGCAAAAACTGATTCAACACGACAACCAAACACGAAATAATTAGGTTTGAGTCAAAGATTTCAACTCAATTATGTATACGGGTTGACACGAACCCGACACGATAGTAAACGAGTCGGGTTAGGGTTGAGGCTCTTAAGTCGAACCTAACACGACAACCCGATTATAATATATTAATATTGATTAATATATTTATTATATATGTAAAATAATCATAATTTAATAATTTTCTCATAAATTAATTTAAACTAAGTTCAATTTTAAATAATTCAACCTAATTTACGCTCAAACTAATAAAAACTAACATAACACGACAACATAACAAAAAATTATTTAATTTTAATCAAGAAATTCGACTTAATTATGTATACGAGTCAACACGAACCCGACATGATAATAAACAGGTTAACAAAAACCCGACACGACAATAAACGAGTCGGGTTAGGGTTGAATAATTTAATCCGTTTAAAGTATTCAACCCGACACGAATCGACCAATTGCCGGCTCTAATTTTACGCATATAAATTAAAATATAAGTCAACAGAGTTTATTTTATTTTAATAGGCATATTCATTACCAATAAACTATACTATATAGTCACCGTCCATTCATCCAAACTTTGATCGATATTTATGTTATCGTACAGATGTGTACACATAAACTAAATAATATTTTGTCAACTTTAATTTATGGCCATGGATCATATACTTGAAAAAATTATTTTTAGCATAAAAGTTTTCAACAGATAGAGACATAAAATTTAAATAAATAAAAGAAATGATGTAATCAAGATAAATTAGTCAGTAAGACATTCTTAATGTTGCCACAAATAGTGCATTGTTGACTGAATGTTGTAAATTAGGTTAATTAACTCTTAAATAGTTGAAAGTTTTGGTGATATTGTGTTACGTAGATCTCATGTAAGGCAATTTTAACTCCTACCAACAACCCTATTTTTTATTTCAAAAAATATATTCTTAAAATATTCTATTTTATAAATCATTTTCAATTATTTTTTATATCTACAATTAATATTATTATTTTTTTAAAAAACTAAAGAATTAAAAATAAATAAAAGAATTAATATGTAATTTTTTTTTTAAAAAAAGATAACGTTATAAAAAGATAACTAAAATAGCGGTGTTATGCTATAGCAAACACAATTTTTTGTGTAAAAAAGAGCTATGCATTGGAGTGCAGAAACTCCATTTCTGATGCAATTGCGTCAAAAAAGGCGCTCCATTGGAGATGACCTAATATGTTCCGAGAAAATATGTACATAAAAAAGGCCGAAACCAAGACCTCTTGTTTAAAAGATATAATTTATACACTTATAAAAATATTTGAACTTCACAATAATTAGATTAACAATTAAAAATAACTAATCTACATATAAAAATTTTGAATCGAAACAACAAAAAAAAAAAAAAAAAATAATAATAAAACCACATATTATTCGGCAAACTTCTGTTGAAATCTGAAAATATGCACGCAATAATAATAATAATAATAATAATAATTTATAAAATAACAATCCCAAACATATGTTCTTGTAAAACAAACAAACAAACAAAGCAACAAAATAACTTAGCAGAAGCACACTGGTTTTGTGTTTTTCAGTAAAAGATCACCACACACCTCAGTGATCTTAAAACCAACGCATATAAGTGAGTAATATTATTATAATATATGAGTATAATAATTGGCATCATCAAGTAAAAATATAGATATAGTCATGGTTGTTTTGTAAAAATAGATAATATAATATATATATATATGTATGTATACGGTATGGTAGGCAGCAGTACGTTCCCAAGACATCCATCAGCATCTTCCCCATCATCGATCAGTGCCACAAGAACTCCAAATCTTCCAAGTTGTTGCTCATGAAGCTCAGTCCCTCGATCAGATCTTCATCATCCAACAGCGGCAGCGGCACCACCTCCGACGGCGGCGCCACAGACACTATATCATTGGCCGCGGCCGCGGCGCTGAGCCCCGTCTCCTGAGAAGGGCTGATCACAGAGTTGTTAGTCGAGAAATGCTCGATCCCTCTCGGCCTCATCTGCCCTAAGCTTGCCTGATGATCATGGACCGGGACTGGAACCGGGGCTGGGGCCGGGACAGGGACCGGGGCCGGGTTCCAATAAGTCGAGACGACTGAGCTAGGTCCTCCAATCTGCTCTTGATAGCCAAGATTTGATGTTAACAGTGGTGGCTGAGGCTGAAACCCTGGATTGGGGATGAAATTAGGGTTTTGTTGGTGATCAAGGCAATAGGGGGTTGGATAGGGGGTGGGGAAGGGGTTGTTCATGGTACTATGGAGGTGAGTTTGAGATGATGGGATGAGAAAGTTATTCTGGCTTTCCGGCACAAATCTCGGTGGCGGGGCAAGAATTCCGGTCGGGATTTGCTGATCATTCGTGGCTAATATGGTGTTGGTAAGCGCCGGAAAATCGCTAGGGTCTTCCAAGAGACTATCAACAAAGGACTCGATTCTTGCGCGATCCATGTTTCGCCGTGTCTCCAAATTCGCGACCTTATAGAACACTTTGCAAACTACCCATTCCTCCTGATAAAAAAAACAACACAATGAATATATCATAATAATCGCAAAATTCTAGGGTTTAACAAGTTCCTAAAGCTTTACAAGAGATTAGGGTTTCATCTGTTTTTTCATTATCATATGTATTTGTGTGTTGTCTGTTTTTATATTATCGGTGTAGAAGTAGAAAAAAAATCGATGAGTTTGAAAGGTAGCATACATAGTGGGTAGTCTTATTCGAGCTTACGGTGTTGCCCTCGAGCCGGTATTCGTGCATAACCCAATCGGATTTCTCGCCTCTCGGGGCTCGCCCTTTGTAGAAAACAAGGGTTTTCTTCATGCCGACAAGAATCTTCTTTCCCCGCCGGATCTCCTTATCTTTGCCGGTGGCTTTCCAATACCCGGCCTCAGTTGCGCGGTTTGTCCTCATCCCGGTCGGATACTTCCTGTCTCTTTGGAAAAAGAAGAACCACTCTTTCTCTCCCATCTTGGCCAACTCTGCAAAGATCAACCAGAGAACAAATCAAAAAGAAATTCTTTTACATGGATTATGATGTACATCATATGTGTTGTCTTGATAAGCTCGATCAATTGAGGAAAATTCTAGGTCTTTTGCTTCATTCAAGGGTTTTAATTCACACACATACACACACTGCATACCCTTAAATCTATAGATAGTGTAGAAATAATAATTTGTAAGATCAAGAACATATGGGAGATAGATTTAATAAAAGAGGATGTTAATTAATTACAATCATCCTCTATATATCGATTTAATTACTTTACATCAACTCTCAATCATTTCCCATCGTCTGAACACTTCCTCCCTTCGTAGAAAAATCATTAGATGTAATCATCATTCAAAAACATAACAACAAAATGAATCGAGTATATATATATAAGCGCGATCGATATATATATATATATGTATGTATATATGTGTGTATGCGTATATGTATTTTTATGTGGCGTAAATTATTGTGAAAAAGCGGCGAGAATAGGATTCATTTACTCGGTAAATCCCAGGGTTCACACTTATTGAGGTCAGCTTCTCCGATGGCCAAGGCGGCGAATTTATTATCCCCGACCTTCTTCACCAGATAATACATGATGATCTCCTCGTCGGTCGGATGGAATCTAAACCCCGGAGGGAGATCCATCACCGGCGCAGATTCATCGGTTTTCTTACCATTAGCCACCACCAACTGAGCGCGTGCTCCGAATCCCGATTCCATTTTTTTCCTTAAACAAAAGAAAGAATATGAAAACTGGAGAACAATGAACAAGTGAAACCAACTTATGAAGCCAAGAAATAGAACTACATACCAGCTTGGAGAGAAGGATGATTTATAGAGATGTGGAGGGGTGAGACTCTTATATTGAGGTAGGAGGGTTGGGGGGTGGGGTGGGGTGGGGTTAGTTCCTTGCAGAGAAAGGAAAATTCAGGGAAAGGGGAATGAAAAAATAAAAATTGCTAAGAAGGGAAGAAAGTCCTTTAGACTTTCATGCCATAAGATTATTATTGCATGTAAAAGGGGCTTGAAGATTAATGAATGGATTGGATTGTCCCGTAAGGTTATACTAGCAATGGTGTCACACCCTTAAAATCTTATCATCCTACTAATTTTTAATTAGTATTTTTATTTCTTTTTTTACGATTGCGTCCAGTAATAAAATGTCACGTATACGTTTTCATTAATATTAAATCCACCGTGTAATCCTATAAGGGCGACGTCATGAACTCGATTGGTGGTTTTGATGTACACATGACATAGGATTTACAGAGGTACAAAGGTGAAGTGGGGATAGAGAAAAAATCACCGTTAGATAATTGACGATTTTCTTTTGATAAATTTTATCGGGAACCTCCCCATTAATGTTTTTGGTATGAAAGTATTAATGATTTATGCTATTATTTTAACCGCGTAAGATTTTAAGCCTAACCGTAGAAAATTAAATGTAAATATTATTTCAAAAATTTATTGCTTTTTACCGAAATTATTATCACGCAACCGTAGATAATAATTATTTTAAATGAAAATAATGTCAAGGTAATAAAATTTCCGATTCCCATTTATTATTATTTTTTTTAATTAACAATGATGAATTGTTCTTGATTACTGAAGTTGATGATGAATAACCAAGTTGTGATTTTTATTTTATTTTATTTTTTATGAACATCCTAATGGTATAAATCATACAATACGATAGCAAGAATGCATGGATTATAGGATAAATATCGATGCATAACTCCAATTATATATTACACAATTAGAAAATAGATACCAATGGTATTCAGCAATTTAAATTCAGTAAATAAAATTTTTCATCGATAATTCAGTGAATTTCGATCACACGTATTCGATGTTATAGAATATTAAATTAAAGTAATATAGAAGTATATAAAATCAGTATTTAGTACTAATCTTTAAATTCAAATAATCATGTGGGTACTTTTATTTAGATTTAACTTTTTTAATCAATAATTTCACAATCTAAAATTTTAATGTAGAAGATTTAGGAAGAAAATAATAATTATTTAAATCCAATTAGAAAATTCCATGATATAAGGTTAACATTGGTTTGTTTGTTTGTTTTTTTTTTTTTTTAGTTTTATTTTGTTTTTTAAAATATTTTGTGAAAAAATATTATGTCGTTATTGGAAGCGAAATATTTTATAAATTGAAAAAACTAAAAATTTTGAATACAAAATTGCATACATTTTTTTTTTATAGGAGATTTTATTCAATGATAAAATATTATAATATTTTGCAAATTTCAATTTGATCAAATCGTAGTATAACACAATTATGTTTGACATATTTCGAATAAATATAGAAAATAATAATAGTGTATTATGCACTTTCGTAAAATTTCATTTGGTTGTTGTTTGTAATTTGATTTGAAATAGAGTATTTTTAATTTTTAATTTAAATAGTATTTTTTTATATATAGTATTTTATCAGAAAAAAATAATTAAATTTTTATTAGAACTGTGTTCATGAATAATGATAATTTATTTTACTTCCTCCGTCCCAAAAGTAAATATTCATTTGTTTTTTTTACGTAATTTTAAAAATATTAGTATTATATTGACATATAGTAAGAATAAAGTAGAAATGACTAAAATAACCTTATTAGTATGTGTGATATTTAGGTAATGACATTTGTGTAATATACTGTAAGTTGTAAGGATATTTGTAATGTTAGGTAAATAGTGCAGTTACTAAAAAAGAAAATTGATACTTCGTTATGGGATGGACTAAAATGAAAAAATTGAATACTTTGTTATGAGACGGAGGAATATTAGAATTGCATGATTAGAATTGCGTGATAATTTTAAATTTAAATCATAACCAAATAACCATATGAATATGTCAAATACACATTATGTAGTTTATAGGCATTCTAGTAATTGAATCTACTAGACAATTTGTAAAGTGTGTAGTTTCGGTGTTTTTGTTATTTTAACTTGTATGTTTTTTAGGTTTAAGATAATTGTTGGATATGATATTTTATATAATAAAGTTTTATATTACAACTTTTGTCCCTTTTATTTACTTTAATCACTTTTCCTTTTTACAATTTTTCATTTACTTTTTATTTGATATGATTTTTAAGGATTGTATTTAGAATAGTAAAAGAAGAAAAATTGTGTAAACAAATTGTAAATATTGAGAGGACCCAAATTATTAATGATAGAAAAAAACACTTTGGGACAAATTAAAGGGAGTAATAAAAACTACCCTTAGGATTTATGTGACCTTCTATTCCCCCCGTCCCATGAAAATTGTTTACAATATTATAGATACGAAATTTTGGAAAAAATATAATTAATAAATAATTAAAAAAATATAAATTATAAATTTAAAATATAATCAAAAGTGTATAACCATTTTTTTTTAAAAAAAAAATTACGTGAGACTAATAAAAATGAAAAAAATAGACCTTTAATGTAGGACAGATAGAGTAATAAAATATGTTATTTTTTTTCCCAAAAATATTACATTAGACTACTATTATACTCAGATGAAAAAATTATATGGCCTGTTTACTTGTGCGACTTTGATTTTGGTTTTACTATTTCAATAATTTTTTTTTAAAATATCAAATAAAAAATCTATAATTGATTTATTATATTACATTAAAATTTAATTTACATTTAAAATATCACATCAATACATATTTATATTTAAAAATAATTATTTCAATTCAAAATTTTATTATTCAAAACTAAAATTCAAAATCAAAACCTCACAAATAAACACACAGTACATAATTGAACTTTTACAATTTTATAACAATACCATTAATTATTATATTAGAAATTTCAGCTAAAACTCATTTTAAAAGATTACACAAAAATTACAGAGAACCAATGGAAGTTTATCTTGTTTAGGTTAACTCAAAATTTTGGATGCATGTTTATTTTTTTATCTTTTATTTTACACTGCAAATTAAAATTGCGAAAAGAAATATAGCATTGGAAGTGTGTTACGATATGTAGTAACACGAAGCAACTACGTAATATATATGTCTGTCTGCTTTTATCTTCCTTCCTATTGAAGTTTTCTGCCTATAAATACGACTATGAAATGTTTAATGAAGACACAATTTGCATTCAATTCTCTCCTTATTGCTTTAAACATTTTGAATAAATATTATTATGTATATATACATATTGCCTTATAAATACTTGATATATACATAAATATACTTACTAATATTATATTATATTATTATTATATAATACGTTATCAGCACGAAGGCTTTTGCATGTTTTATTTTTGGTAAGTTTTTGTTTTTATATTATCTATTTTCTAAACTATGAAAAATCTTGCAAAATTTTCTTTTCAACCTTTGTCTCTCACCGGAAATAGTTTTTTGACTTGGTCTCTTGATGCAGAAATGCATCTGGTTTCTATGGACCTTGTTTATACAATTGCCAGTGAAAATGCGGCTACAAGACAAGATCGAGCTAAGACTATTATTTTCATCCGTCACCATCTGGACATTCATTTACAGTCCGAATATTTGACGGTGAAAGATCCACTTGATTTGTGGAATGAATTGAGGGAAAGATTTGGGCACTTGAAATATATCACTCTCCCCAAAGTCCGACATGATTGGCTTAACCTGCGATTGCATGATTTTAAAACTGTTACAGAGTACAACTCTGCGATCCATCAGATTACATGTCAGTTGAAACTCTGCGGAGAAATTGTTACTGAGAATGATAAATTGGAAAAGACTCTCTCTACCTTTCATGCTTCTAATGTTGTGCTGCAACAGCAGTATTGTGAGAAAATTTTTCAAAAGTACTCATAGCTCATTGAATGTCTTTTATTAGCTGAGCAAAATAATGAGTTATTGATGAAAAATCATCAGTCCCGGCCCACTAGTTCCAGTCCATTGCCTGAAGCGAACGTGACATTTTATGAACGAGGCCGAAGACGTGGTACAGGCCGTGGACGTGGTCGCGGTCGTGAGAGTCAACATGGTCGATATACCCCTTACGATCACCCTGGTATTGACATTAATAGAAAGCAGAGTAAACCCCAATATGGGGATATAGTCGAAAAGGCTAAATAGGGAAAGAGGCAAATCGACATTTGTAATCGGTGTAGCATTGAAGGTCATTGGGCCAATACCTGCAGAACAGTCAAACACCTAGCCGATCTTTATCAAGCCTCACTGCAGAAAAATGGGAAGGAGATCGAGATTAATCACGTTGATAATGATGACGACCCCGATGATGATCTTTTGGATTATGACACAACGCATCTTGATATAGCGGATTTTTTCGTAGATCCACCAAACTCCCAATGATAGACATATTATGTCATTTACATTATGTTTTGTAATATTTAAATTATCGCATATTACCTTTTTGTAATGTATTTTGTAATATTTATATTTGCCTTTATTAATACTGCATTTATTTATATGTGAAGGTTAAATGGATGCCAATCAAAATGATGGAAATATGTGTTCCATTGACAGTGCAACGATACATACTATATTGAAACACGATAAATATTTCTCCCATTTGAAAAAGGAAAGAATGAATGTCAATACAATAAGTGGTAGTGGAAAATTAATTGAAGGCTCTGGAGAAGCCATATATTTCTCCCCACATGGACGAAAATTGTGATACAGT